GTTGAAGGTTCCAGGCACTTCTAGCTCGTTCTAGCCGATCGGAGATTATTTCGATACCATTTGGCGCCCACCGTGGGGCTTCTGTTCGAAAAAGCATGTGTTCAAGATAACCATGGCGGACGGAATCCCGAGAAAAAATCTTGAAGCGACGTTCAATGACACGTGGACGACCACGCGTCCGTTCGGAGAAGACCCTCCACCGGGCTTCTCTGGACCTTCCACAATTCCGATGACTCCAATGCCTCTTCCTCAAGGCCTTGGGAGTTCATCGGTGTTGCCGGTAGCTGATGTGGGCTTGAGTAGGGACCTGGAGGCTCGAATCGTGCAAGGAGTGGTGGTGCAAGCCCAACCACAACCATAGACCTCGTTCACTCTAATGTACGTGATCCTATGTCACTTCAATCGAGAGGAGGATTTGAGTACTTTGTTACCATTATCGATGATTACTTGAGATACAGATACGTTTACCAATTGCGCCGCAGGTTTGAATGCTTTGAGAAATTCTTGCAGTATGAGGCAGTTTCGGAGAAGCAATTAGGTAAAAGTATCAAGTCATTACAATCAGATCGTGGCGGCGAATATCTCTCAGGGGAATTTAGGAGTTACTTGTCGGAGAATGGGATTCTTGGTACATAATTTTTACACTCGGCCTGAGAATTGACGCGTGGCCAAGCCTCTCATTCAATTGTTGGACGGACCAAATATAATTAATTTTAAAATGTATAAAACTATATACATATATAGTATTTTTATCTTATAAATATACATAAAAGTAATAAAAATAAATATTTTGTATATAAATTTGTACACCAAAGTGTTAATAAATATTACAATATAAATATATATACATAGATTTTAATTTCAAAATAAAAAAATATTTTAGAAAAAAAAAATATATATAAATATATATTTAATTTCAAAATAAAAAAAATATATATTTATATATATAATGGCTAGGTCAAACCGGGTTCGATGCCCCGGTCAACTAAGTCAAGGCCGGGTCGATCCGCTATGCCGGGCCAGGTTGAGAAAACTATATGCTTGGTGGGTATCAAAGCTAATGTTTAGTGTTCTGGAAAAAGAAACAGAAATCTCATTTCATGCGTATTTTGTGTGCGCTCTATAATCTATTAGAACGTCATTTTAATTTTTAATAATGGTAATTTAGATTCCATGTACTAATATATCCAGCACAATCACTTGTAAATCTTGAGAACCCCCATATTTACTCAAATGAATTACGATTATTATTATAAGACAGTTCAAATTAAACCAATCTTTAAAAAGTCTCTAGTATATATAATTGTTTTATTAAAATGATGTAGACATGAAAAGCCATGAATACAATATGTAATCCTAGATGCTCATTATTTAGACTTTTGTTAGGCATGAGTGTAACTACGGGTGCCCATGTAATTGAATAAATAAAATCTATATAAGAATCCCATGTCATATATTGTTTTCTTTAGAGGATTAAGGTTGATTATGGTGTCTATTATTTAGAAAGTGGTGTCATTGGGTAGCCCACAAAGAGTTGATGGATCACATGGCTGTCTGGACATGGACACCTACACGTATACTATAATTTATTTAGTTGTATAGGCAGCAATTAGTGCTGGGAGTTTTCTTGCATGTGCCACAAATCTACCCTAGATATATATTTTCCCCTCGCTTTTAATTTCCATTGTCAAAATCGAATCTTTACTTATAATGATTCTAATTATCCAATCTCAACAACATAATCCCTCGTTTTCTTCCCTGTCTAAATTAAAGAGATTTTGGAAGGGTTATTAGCCTCGGATCTTGGGAGGAGTTCTAAACATGGCAGATTTTTGCTTAACTTTTCAGCGTCTTAAATTTTGATTTAATTAAGAGGATTCATCAATTAATTTTTCTTTTCATTTTCTTTTAGGGGTAAGCAAAGGGATAGATCCCTTTTCCATTAAATGGGAGCGTAAATTTGGGTTGAAATGACATTATTTCTGCAAGTTTTATTTAAGCTTCTTTTCTTTTACTCACAAATCACGATAAGAGTATGTATTACGGCCGGCAAAAATCTAATTTTGGTCTTCTAAGTTGGTCATTGTCCAATTTTGATGCACCAATTTTTTTCTCATAAAAAATAGTCCACTATGTTACAATTTTTATCAATTTTAGTACAGTAATCCCGAGGGGCCGGATTACGTGATGATGTGGAAAATTATAATCCTTCTATGTCAAAATCCTATCCATCCACGTCGTTTCAATCCTTGCCCGCATCATCACGTAATCCGGCTCCTCGGGATTACTGTATTAAAATTGACGAAATTGTAACATTGTAGATTATTTTTTATGAAGGAAAAGTTTGTGTACCAAAATTGGACAATGGCCAATTTAGAGGACCAAAATTGAATTTTTGCCTATTACGGCCTATATATAAATCTCCCTATATATAATTTTTGTATTCGTCGAGTTTAATTAAATTGTAGACTCGTTTCAGAATCCCACGTAGTAAGAAACAATGCTTCGAAATCATGTTTCGACATAAATTAGAATTTTTTATACACAAAATTATTAGGCTTGAAATGCATTAATATATTATTCACATTCAATCCGTAACTAGTACAGAGCCCGTGCGATGCACGAGGTGCACAATTTTAAGACTATTTATCCAGACTTATAATTATATACATGAATAAAGAAAAATGTACGGGATATATATAGTACGTGACCCGTGCAAAGCACGAGATATATTTATTTGGAGAATATTATATTATAAGATGTCATATTCAATAAAAGTTTATAATACGCAAGAAAATTGTACAATGTTCAATAAAAGTTTTATAATATTCAAGTGGAGTCTTAAAGACTCTTGTACATTAAGACTACTGAAAAAATAATATTTTAATCAATGAGTTTCTTTTCCTTGTAGCCAAATTGTGAATGTGATTTGAGAAATATAACAAATCGATATATATCTAACTTGCTTTTTTCATTGTAATTTTTTTTTAATAATGAATTTAAAGATATTCTAAAATATAGCAAAAATTAATTTTTTTATTACAATTAGAAATTTTACTAAATATAAACTCTCAATCTATGGTGTTAATCAACGTTTAAGTCTAAAAAATTAGGAATTTTTACCTCTTTTAATCAACGTTTAAGTCTAAAAAACAATAGAGTTATTATAAGTTTTTTTTTCTACATCTTTTAAAACATTAAATATGAGCATGTTAGGGCTAGCTTGTAAAATAATTAATATATTATCTCACTAAAACATTTATACTAATAAAAATTTAATTTTAGCATATAAATTTATCCCTTGATATAAGAGAAAGTAACAGTTTTACTTATTGTTGTTCACCATATAATATTTAATTATTATTTTATTATATAATAAAAAAGAAATATTGTTAAATAGTGTAGTAGAATTGTTATAATATTATATGATTTTTTTTTTACAATATGGATTTAATATTTTTTTTATGATTTGATAATATAAACAAATCTATACTTAACTTTGACAAATAAAACAAATAAATACTTTAGTAAGTATTTAATGTATATACTAAATAGGAATATACTTGGTATAATCAAATACCAAATATAATCAAATAAGTCAAAGTGTACATTTTTATTTGGTATTTGATTTTTTTATTATTAAAATCTTTTTATTATACTTACCTTTTTAAAATAAAAAAAAATAAATAAATCAATTAAATAAATAAAATATTATAATACCAAAATAGTAATGACATTTAATGCAGTTGACTTTTCTGGATAGTAAATATAGTAAATAGAATCTCTTTTTATATAAGTATAGATTGTATAATACGGAAATAGTAATGTAATAAATATTGTTGACTTTTCTTTATACTAAATCTGGTAAATGGTATACCTTTTAATATAAGTATAGATTGATCTTTTTTTTTTTCTACAATTAGTTATCATTAATAATTTCTTTTTCTTACTTTTCCTTATTTCTTATTTAATTAATACATCAATGACTATAAAAGTGTTATATTCTTATTTTCAAAATTTCATTACTTTTTTGCTTGTATATTTTATTTTTTATATATGATACATCAGATTCATTATCTTTTAACGATTTTTTCAATAAAATTAAAAGTTATTACCAAAATTAAAAACTATCAAATAAAATTATAAATTATCTTATAAAGGTAATAAAAATGTACTTGTATTAACATACTACAGAATAGTTATCTTATATCGAAAAAATATATAAACTAAGTATGAACATAAAATAAATATAAATAACATTCTAAAAATTTGTTTCTTCACAATAAAAAACGACTACAAAAAGGTTGTAAACTATAATGATATTTAAAATAAAAAAATCTAAACGAATAATAATCTCATAAACATTATATTTAGACTTATTGCATATTATAGAACTAAAGATATTTGAATAATCTTTGTAGACAGAACCAATCATTAGTTAAATAATAGATGACGGAGTAAATTATAAAAATATAAAATACAATTGGAAAAACATAAATTATTGAGTTAAATGTGTGTATGGAAAAGTTATTATTATTACTATTAGAAAAAAGCTACATTACCAACCTAGTATACAACTAAGTTGACAACACAAGTAAAAACATCCACTTGTGTACTTTTTTATTTTTATTTTTTTGAATGTTTTCACTTGTGTTGTCAACCTAGTTGTATACTAGGTTGGCAATGTAGCATTACTCTTACTATTATTATTGTTTAAATATTCAGCAGCTTTCTTGCTGATCAAGTTAGGTTTAGGATAGGGACCTTATATAAAGGACTAACTCTAGTTTATTTTTCTTGGTTGATTATTGAATAAAAATAAGATTGATTTGGTTTTATCATGTTTGAGATTGAGATCTCATTCATATCCTTCCCACTCGTATGCTTTCCTACATCAGTTAGTATCAGAAGTCAACACGATTCACGATATTGTCGCGAAGACAAGATGCTCAAAACGACAGGCATGTCGCCGCCATCTACAACCTGAGCCGCCAAACCGAATGTTTTGGTCACCGGTTCGAGACGATGGGTTGTCGAATTGCAGATCTATCCATGGAGATCGGAGACATACGTCTAACTACCCGTACCATGGTTTGGGACAAGCAAAAGAATTGCGATGGGGCTGGGGGCCCGTGGCAATCGCGGGGGAGCCAGAGGCGGACGTGGAGGACGCGGCTATGTCGAGGCGCCCCGATAGCGGTCCCCGTCTCCTCTGAACGGCATGGAGAATAGAGAGAGCACCTGGTCAGCAAACAACCCGTTCGCTGGCCGCACAGGGAGGGGCGACGAGGAGACCTTGGACGATTTCCAATTTCGCGACCAGAGGCGGCCGGGCGTGGAAGCCTTAGGCGATGGTCGACACCACAAGCAGCAGAGGCAATATGGGGTGTCGCAGCGGCCTAGGCGTGCGAAGGAAAGCGCGTCGCTAGTTCGACGAGTTCCACGGTCGCAAGCAGCGTCAATCCGATGTAGGCTTCACGCCGGTTGAGGAACGCGATGGACGGCGCGCTGACGACGGGTTCGGCGATGGGTGCAACTAGCGACGTGGAGGTGACGGTAACCAACAATGGGTATCGGTGTTTCGCGTAGACGAGCCATTTTATGACGGATCACCGATTTTTTATGATGAGCTATTTTACGACTGATCGTCGATTTTTATGAGGAGCCTCTGGGGTGGAGGATCTCATCGTGGAGTGTAATTCTCTTTACAGCAACACCAACAAAGTCTGGGACCAACCTTTTTGGGAAGAGAGTGTGCATGCCAGGGGCGTAGGTCCTGCTCCAATCCCAGTTGGGGATTTTTCACTTCACAAGCTGGAAGATGCAACTATTTGTATGCTACATCCTGAGGTTAAGCAAAGTACAATTGAACTGGCAAAATCAATGGAAGATGACGATGGGGTGATTCTGACACGTCATGACAAGTACTTTCAAGTTATTGACCATTCGGCTGGTGTTGAACTTTTTAATTTTGTATGCCCAGGGGTGTTTGGTTTGGAAATAGAGGTCCTATGTTGTGTGGGCCGGCTAGAGTGGACGTTATGAGACATTCAATCTTCGTGGTCGATAGGGAGAAACGTCGAACGATGATTGCCATGGGTACGACTCCGGTGTCGGCAAATTTGGTGCGGCTTCGAGGGCGAAGCCTTTCAATCCAGAGGAGAATGATGCAGAAGAGTTATTATTATTACTATTATTATTATTATTTACAGATTTAGTAGCTTTCTTGGTGATCAAGTTAGGTTTAAGATTAGGGGGCTTATATAAAGGACTCCCTCTAGTTTATTTTCCTTGGTTGATTCTTGAATAAAAATAAGATTTATTTGGTTTTATCGTATTTGAGATTGAGATCTCATTCGTATCCTTCCCACTCGTACGCTTCAGTGTGTGTGTCATAAAAAAAGAATTATCATTTTGGCAAATCGAATGTAAAATGCGGGTATTATTTCAAATGATTATCTTTGTTAATTTTGTAATTATTAGTTATATATATAAATATATGTGTGTGTGTGTGTGTGTGTATGGTGGATCAAATGAGCACAATTCTTAAAATGAGTACGTGAGACTCAATCTTAACTATTGATTTTGTGTTGATCAATGGCTCATATTAATCACTTTGAATACATTAATTATATAATAAAAATTATTTATTATTATATTTAAATTAAAAATATAATAAATATTTTTTTTTTTATTTTCAGTGACCGACGTTGACCTGCCAGAGCTGTAACCTCGCGCCGCTAGAGCTGCTCCTACTTTTTCTTCTGACCGGAGACGTCGGAACCCTCACCCGAGGTCGCCGAAGCTGCTCTTCCTTCTTCTGCTAGCTGGAGACGCTAGAACCCCCACTCGAGGCCAGCGAGGCCTCCGCATAGCCACTGGCCCAATTTTCATCCAACCACCAGAAATCAACCAGCTCGGCGGCCTTCCTCTAGGGAGTAATCAACCAATTTCCTCGACCATGTTCTTTATTCTGCTCCGTTTCCTTCTCCTGGGAGGACGGCCACGTATCGCCGCTACTAAAGGCCGATCGGCATGCCACCGCCACTGCCATGCCTCCAGTTTTACTTTGGTGGGATGTCGACGCATTCGTCTTCATTTTCGACGTCCCCATCTCAGTTCAGTGAAGCGATCAGGGTGGCGTATGGAGGCGAGGATGCCGATGGAGGCGGAGCTGAGGGTACGCTAGATTTGGAATTTTTTTGATTTTGGTAGGGATTGACTTTGGAAATTTTATAAATATAGGGGTTAAATTGTAATTTCTGAAACTAAAGAGTTATTGCAATTAGATTTTGGGTTCAATCTGTAATTTATTTATAGTTTGAATAAATGTAATATGACCCTTGAGTTTTTATAGTATATAATTAATGTACATTTAGTTTATTAGTTAATATTAAAATTAGTAATTATATTTTATACTAAATAATATATGAAAGTTACATAAAATTATATTTTACACTAAAATCAATATTTTTTTATATGATGAAGCGGTTGTTTATTAATAAAATAATTTTTTTTTTATGTCATAGTAAAATTTCTTAAAATCACATAAGCAATTGTTATAATAAATGTAATATTTTTCAGCTAATTAATTGGTCATGATCACTCAAAATTGTAAAAAGTATATATTTATTACATTTTATGCAATCAATATAGTGATTCGTATACAATCAAATTGTGTGTACTATTTAGTTTAACCAATGATCAAATTTTAAAATATGATACTACTATATAATTTATAATTTTAATATTATATACATAAATATAACTTATAATACTATATGTTTGAAATATAATACAATTATATAACTTATAATTTTTATATTATATACATAAATATAACTTATAATATTTAGTTTTATTTACATCTGTGCAAATACACAGTTTCGAATACTAGTTAGATATACACTATGCATATACTAGTTATAAATAATGCATACTTAATTTGGAATAAGAAATGCAAATTTAGTTCATTCATTGTGCATATTTAGGTAATAAAAAATGCATATTTAGTTAATCCATATTGCATATTTATTATATTTAAATTAGACATATACATAATGCACATTTAGTTCATTCATTGTGCATATTTAATTCATACGAAATGCATATTTAGTTATCCATAGTGAATATTTGTTGTATTTAAATTAAATATATAGATGATGCATATTTAGTTCATTAATTATGCGTATTTAGTTCATATGAAATGTATATTTAGTTAATCAATAATGCATATTTGTTATATTTAAATTAAATATATACATGATGCATATTTAGTTCATTCATTTAGCATATTTAGTTCATACCAAGTGCATATCTAGTTCATACAAAATGTATACTTAGGTGATATTATTAGTGCATATTGAGTTCATAAGGATTTCATATGCAACTCATGCCAAATGCATAGTTAGTTCATATTAAGTGCATAGTGTTGAATGCATATTTACTTCATACATAATGCATACAAAGGTCAACGGGTCAATCCCAGAAGTCAACGGTCAACTCCCGAGTCAAGGCTCACTATCAATGGTCAAATGGTCAAAATAATATTTAAGTAATTAAATAAAAAATAAAAGGTTAAATCTTGATCACATATCTTGATATCTATCTAATGGCTAGAATTGAGTCTCACATACTCACTTTAAATATGTGTCTGTATTGGAACTAATCCCTATATATATATACACACACACACACACACACACACACACACACACACATGTATGTATTATCTCACAATTATCTAGATTTGTTGTTGGTTACCTTATTGTTCAAATCTATCAACTAATTCTATAGAATTAAATTACAAATTTTAAATTTTATTAACCAATATTTGTTCAAAGATCTTTCTGATTTTCAAGAGAAATAAGTTCCAATTTCTTGAAGTATCATCGATATCTTATGGTGAGTTATTACGGAAATATGCTAAAATTTGAGAATCATATCACCTTTATTTTTTAACAAATCACCAACTAATTCTATAAAATTAATTATAAATTTTAAATTTTATTAATCAATATTTGTTTAAAGATCTTTCTGAATTTTAAAAGAAATACGTACCAATTTTCCGAATTATCATCGATATTTTATGGCGAGTTATTATGGAAATATGCTAAAATTTGAGAATCATATCACCTTTATTTATTAACAAAACACCATAAAATTCGACTTTCACACATATACAAAATAAAATCTATACCACTTATTTTGTTTTTAAAATTTTCAAATACACTTCTACCCATATAAAATAAAATTCATACCATTTAAATTCGAACATTTCATACCAAAATAAAAACGCCCATTTTATATCATAAATTCAAAAATTTATTAATAATAACACATTTCCTACCAAACTTAAATATCCATCGGATACATCAAATAAACTGCCACTTTATACCAAAATCGGATTTATTATTTTTAGCAACTCTACACCATAAATTAATTAATTAATTCCTAGAGACGGGATTTTTTGAAATTTTTTAAAAAGGATTACAAATTTAGTAATTTTAAAAATTTTAGGTGCGATTTTAGTTTCTATTTCAAATAAATACAAACCATCATATATATATATATGTATGGCTGGGTTCAAGTGAGAATGATGCTTAGTGAAAGAAATAAGAATACATCGCAGCTGTCCGATCGAATAATCCAATGGTAAAAAAAGAAAAAAGAAAAAAAAAGCCAACATATTTACATTTATTAAGGGTATTGTGGACATTTTCTACCATTAGTGGGCCCCACAGTCACTAACCCATCCAATCCCACCAGCTATCACACACACACACGCATCCGATCCCTTCACTTGTCACACACACACACACACGCACACACACACAATTCCATGCATGCACACAGAAACACACACACACACCCACACACACAGAATCGCTGACCCGCAACTACAAGAACCGCGTCTGCCACCGCTTCCTCTGCCACCGTTACAACCTTCTTCAGCCGCCGCCGTCCACCTCTCAGTCATCGCCGTCTCCTTTTAGCTCACTAAACATTTTTGTTTTTCTTTTCGGACGCCGGAATTGGGCCAACCACCTCAACCCCTTTGGTCGATAACTCGCCATCCCCCCCTTCACCCCTCCGCTGGTGACTGATTTAATAATTTGCTGCCTCTATTAGCCTCCCTGTATAGGGCCCTCCACCACCCGAGTAAATCTCCAAAATTGCCGCCAGAGCCGGACAGAACATGTAAAAAATCGAAACAGACATTGACAATATCCATCACCGGCGAGGTCTTGGATGGCCGAGAACGGCAGGGTGGTTAACTAGCGAAAAGGACAGGGCTGATGTGGCAGGGACAGGCAAGATCCGAGTATGGGATTTAGGGGATTTTTTTTTTCTTGAAAAATTGATAATCTCTAGGGGACCTATTTGCAATTTTAAGAACTTTGGTTATATTTCAATTCAGTCCATGGGTCAAATCTATAGTTTATAAAATATATTATTTTTTATATATTTTTTATACATATAGATTAAAACGATAAATTAAAATATCATCAAAAGATTTAATTGCACATTAATGTACATTGCATTACACCATGTCACGTTTGGAATTGCACATTAAAAATATCACTATATAGACTGCACCATATTGTCAGACAAACTGCACATTAGTAAATATGATATTGCACATTGATGGGTCTACTCTCAGATCTGAAGTAAACCGGTGGTTGTGAGCTCCGATCTGTTCGAACCGCCTCCAAACCGTTGCTAGACCGCGACAACACCTGCAAGAACTCAACGCCGGAAGTGTTTCTGGCGTAGAGCCTCCGACACTCAAGTCAGTATATGAAAGAGATGAAAGAGAGCTGCTCTGGGAGAGCAGCAGCAGCAAGAGAGGAAAGTGTATCGAATGAATGGAAGTTGGGGTTTAGGGTTACCTCAGCCCCTTTATATAGGAGGAAAAACTCACTTGAAGTACCCCAAAATGCCCTGGTCGACTTACTTGAAATGTCTAAAATGCCCCAGTCGGTTCGTCTTCCCTCCTTGCTTAGTCATTACAAGATTCCTTCTTATCCATTAAAAAATATGAGGCTTCAAGAGATATTGTAAGTGTACTGAGTCGTCAGTACATTATGGGCCTCGAGGTGCAAGGAGTCGACCTCGAGCACCAGGAGGTCGACCTGGGATGAGTATTCGGAGGCTACGCTTGTTCGTCTCCTCGGTGAAAGTCGACTCTGGGAGCTGTCTTAGGGAAGTCGACTTTAACGTTGTCGACTTCGATCAAACCGGCATCCGCTTTCAAATGGCTGATCATGTAAAGCTATTAACCGTCAGGAGGTCGACTTACATGTGTCGACTTGGCGATGTTGACATGTGGACGGTTCTGACTCGTCATCCCGGTCGAGCGATTAGTACTCGAGCCGGTATATCCTAATATGGCTATATCACACATTATCTTAACAGTGCATTTTGCGCGATAACTAAAATGCCCCCGCGTGAAAAATCCAAAGTCCACTTATAAACAGAAATACCACCGCGTATTTGACTAAAGTTGCACGTTTTGACCGTGCCTGGAGCATTGATATATCACATCCAACAACTATAATTAACAATCAATTTCTCATATAATCCCACCTCTATATATATATATATCATTTAGCGTCTAGCCCTTTTATACGCCCCTCTTAACTTTTAAATTTCTTATATAAGCTATTCACAATCAATTTCTGATTCAACTTGAGTTCGCTAGTATGTAAGATTGATTAATGAACTAACTACTAGAAATATTTATTTATTAGAACAAATTAATTTAACATGTCCGCAAACAAACAAACTGAAGACTTTTTCCTGCATCATAATTCTATCATAAGACTTTTTTTTCTTGTAAATGCTATTCTAATTATTCAATTAAGTTACCATATCAATCTGAATTAGTAACAAACGAAAATATCAAAAGTAAGTTCTGCCAAATTAATGGCTTTATTGGACGGGCAAAATTTTACTTTTAGTAAACATGGTCACTAAGCTGTAGTTTTAATCAAAACTCGTACAATGTGCGTCATGAAAATGGTCCACTAAGCAATCACTTTATTAATTCAAACTCATACAATGGACGTCATAAAAAATGGTCCATTAAACTATCACTTTGATCAAAACTCCTACAATTCTCAACATAGTATATTAAAATGCTGACGTGTCTGGATTAATTTCTGACGTGGTCGGACTTTTAGTACACTATGTTGGCCATTGTTTGAGTTTTGATTAATGTCACAACTTAGTGGATCATTTTTATGACGTCCAATATGATGAATCTTTTTTCATACAATGACCAACATAGTGTATTAAAAATAAAATTTTGCGGACAATTCCAAATTCAATTGTACTAACTGAGAATCGTTCTAATTATCAATTATTGAACAAAATGCATTTATATGAATGATTAACAACGCAATCATCTTGTAAAAATGGCTGATATCTTGTTT